ATTATTCCGTTTGGAATTGATAAAACAAAACAAGTGGATCACCTTGATTATTATAGAGTTAAACTCTATTATTCCGTTTGGAATTGATAAAACAAAACAAGTGGATCACCTTGATTATTATAGAGTTAAACTCTATTATTCCGTTTGGAATTGATAAAACAAAACAAGTGGATCACCTTGATTATTATAGAGTTAAACTCAATTATTCCGTTTGGAATTGATAAAACAAAACAAGTGGATCACCTTGATTATTATAGAGTTAAACTCTATTATTCCGTTTGGAATTGATAAAACAAAACAAGTGGATCACCTTGATTATTATAGAGTTAAACTCTATTATTCCGTTTGGAATTGATAAAACAAAACAAGTGGATCACGTCGAATATTATAGAGTTAAACTCTATTATTCCGTTTGGAATTGATAAAACAAAACAAGTAGATCACCTTGATTATTATAGAGTTAAACTCTATTATTCCGTTTGGAATTGATAAAACAAAACAAGTGGATCACCTTGATTATTATAGAGTTAAACTCTATTATTCCATTTGGAATTGATAAAACAAAACAAGTGGATCACCTTGATTATTATAGAGTTAAACTCTATTATTCCGTTTGGAATTGATAAAACAAAACAAGTGTTCACGTCGAATATTATAGAGTTAAACTCTATTATTCCGTTTGGAATTGATAAAACAAAACAAGTGGATCACCTTGATTATTATAGAGTAAACTCTATTATTCCGTTTGGAATTGATAAAACAAAACAAGTGGATCACCTTGATTATTATAGAGTTAAACTCTATTATTCCGTTTGGAATTGATAAAACAAAACAAGTGGATTACCTTGATTATTATAGAGTTAAACTCTATTATTCCGTTTGGAATTGATAAAACAAAACAAGTGGATCACGTCGAATATTATAGAGTTAAACTCTATTATTCCATTTGGAATTGATAAAACAAAACAAGTGGATCACCTTGATTATTATAGAGTTAAACTCTATTATTCCGTTTGGAATTGATAAAACAAAACAAGTGGATCACCTTGATTATTATAGAGTTAAACTCTATTATTCCGTTTGGAATTGATAAAACAAAACAAGTGGATCACCTTGATTATTATAGAGTTAAACTCTATTATTCCGTTTGGAATTGATAAAACAAAACAAGTGGATCACGTCGAATATTATAGAGTTAAACTCTATTATTCCGTTTGGAATTGATAAAACAAAACAAGTGGATCACCTTGATTATTATAGAGTTAAACTCTATTATTCCGTTTGGAATTGATAAAACAAAACAAGTGGATCACCTTGATTATTATAGAGTTAAACTCTATTATTCCGTTTGGAATTGATAAAACAAAACAAGTGGATCACCTTGATTATTATAGAGTTAAACCGGGGGGGGGGGGGGATTGCAGTTGCGAGTTGCGGATTGCGGATTGCGAGTGCGGATTTTTTTAAAGAAATTACGAGTTGCGGATTTTTAAGATTTTTACGCAATTTTTCTAAATTTCCCTCACAATAAATGGAAAAAATCTGGCTTTTTGTTCTTCCCAAATTCTCAAAATTTTCGTCTGCGGCGCTGAAAATGGAAGAAATAGTATGGTGACTGGTCTTTAGATATCCTTATAAAATTCTTAAATAAAAATAAAATTAAAAAAATATTTTACTTGCACAACTAATAACACAGTAATTTCTGCTTTCACTTTGATTTCACAAATTACGCAAAAAAGAATTTTCTTTTGTGAATTATTTTCTTGATTCATTTTTTAAATAATATAATAGGTTGGTTTATCAGATTAAATTTTAAATACAACTTTAATAAACCAAAATGAGAAAATTAATAATAAATTTGGAATCAAAAATAATTTAAATAAAAAAATCAGAAAAAAGCTAAACAAATATATTTTTTTGTTTTACAAAAAACAATACACAAAAACGAGAATATTGTACGTAAATTAAATTAATTTCGTTAAACATCCGTACGAAAACGTATGTTTATCGAAAAAAAATTTTTTTGCAGACTATTTTTGAAATTTAAGCTTTTTAATTTGTAGCTTATATTTAAAATTATAAACTACAAAATTTTTAAAATTAAACTCAAATAATTTTATTTGAAACAGTAGACGACCAACGAACAAAAATTTAAATTTGATGTTTATTAAATTGTGTGTCTATTAAATAAATAAACGAAATTAAATTATTATTATAATATATTATTTTATACCATTTATTTTTATTGTTTTGCAAAAACTTGTAATAGTGTTGTGAGCGGAATACAAATTACATAAATGCTCTAATTAAAGCCCTGGGAGTCTATGTTTCAATGGATCACTTTAAGTGGGTTTTTTGAGACTGGGTTTTTATTTATTGATAGGCTACTTGGTTGATAAGTTTTAATTAAGATAAGTTTTAATTTGAGTTGGTCGGTATCGAGATTTCGACATAAAATTGCGATCGAGATCTTGGAATCATAACCCTGATCCCGATACCGATTCAGAATCGTGATCGGGATTGAAATATCGGGATCGGTATTCAATGTAAATTTTTTAAATTTTAAATTGTTATAAATAAATTGATTTTTGTTTTAAAAACGGGAATAAGCCTCACAAGAGTTAGATTCGAGACAAAAACATCTCAAAAACGGATATTTTTAAATTTTTCCAATTTGATGAGAGAACTCTAAAGATCACTCAAATCAAAGATTTATTGCAAATTAAAGCCTCAATTGAGTCTTAGAATCCCCATTAGGATTTAAAAGGACATTGATGATATTAAGTGAGTTGACGGGATATTATCCTTCATTTTTTATCTTATATTTTAGGATATTTAAAAGCCTGTACCTCGCTCCAAAAACATTTTCGTAGCTAGAAGTGGTCTCTTGAACCACTCTTGGTCTCTCGACATCGAGGCATTACTCATCATTTCGTTTATGTTGTAAACATTTTCCTCCTTTTCTGGCGCTGCAGGAAAAAATTTCTAGATTTTTGGAAGGCCAATGAGTCAGATTTCTTCCTTTTTATGGCAATTTGTTTAATTAATAATGAATTCACCAGATATTAGCGTTATTCAGCCGATATCTCTTAATACCCAGACTTCTCTCTAAATTTGATCAAACTTTTAATTTCTAAATATTAATTTACGTCTAGATACAAGTTCAATTCAATTTATTACGTCATGTTTGATTTTTATTTATTACGTCATGTTTTTACATTCCCTTTTAGACAGGCTAAAACAAACAACATTTTTTATGTTTAGGAATGGATTTAAGTGTATCTAACTTATGATTTTTTTCATAAGGCAAGTCCATAAATCGCACGTCAATCGCACGCATGATTAATCCCGCCCTCCATCACTATCGCTCTTGTCAACCCTCCTGTCATAATCGGGATTTTACATTCACTTAATGAAAAATTTTAATTTGAATTGGGGACTTTGATTGACCTTCCATACTCAAATTTACCGTATTTTCTCGATTAATTCCCCTCCCTCGAATAATTCCCCCTCTCGATTAATTCCCCATGCTAGAGTTGGGTTGAAACAATAATTCCCCACCCCCAAATACCCTACTGCACGTTCAAATATCAAAACTCGAATAATTCCCCTCCCTCGATTAATTCCCCATGTCATGGAAGGGTAGAAAAAATAATTCCCCAGGGGAATTAATCGAGAAAATACGGTATGTAATTTTTAATTTTCTAATAAAAATATTTAGAAGTAAACAATATTTTAAATAGTTTTTGTTATTAAATTTTATATTTTTATTTTATAATTATAATTAATCAAGTTTTAAGTTGTGATACTTTAATGGGCTCGCGAGGCCCACCGGGCATTGGGTCCGGCCCTCCTCGGGAGAGAAGGACCGGACGTGCCCTGACTCTCTTAGATAAGCCTTAAAACTTTACTACTTTTTAATACAAATATTTATTCGATTTATTAAATGTGAGGGGAAAACGAGAGAAGAATCAACTGAGAGTTTTTAGCTTAAAGTTATTTCTTTTTAAATGGCCAAAATTAAAGGGACAGCTGACATCTCTCTTATAACATTCCTCTTCGGGGGGAAAGCGCGCCTCGCGCTATATTTTGGTAAAAAGAATAAAATAGAAGCGCGGCGTCCGCTTCCCCCAATAACGAAGACCAATGTTATTTTCAGTTAAATTGTATAGTTGACTTAAATTTTAAATATTTTTTTGTATTTTTTTGTATTTTTCTTTTTTTTTTTATTTTCTGGCCAAAGTGTTAATTGTAAGAGGAGCAAAAAGTCGGCAGCAGCAAAGCATAAAAGTTTTGTATCTTTTTGTTGAAAAGAGCTTTTCATAGCCAATGCGGCAGTTGATTTTTGACTAGTATTTTGTTCGTTCTTAGCACCTGCAGGGAATGGGAAGGGAGGGGAAGTAAAAATGTTAACATCAAAAATTAATATTATTTCAAATATTAATATTATTATCCCAAAAATTAATATTATTTTATTATTTTATTTTCTTCACCAATTAATATGTTGGCTTTATTGATTTTAATGCTATTGCCGAGCTTTGTTGGTGGCCATGGTAATTTATCATATTTTTAATTGAACATTGTAATTTTTACAATTAAAATAATAATTTTAATTAATAACAGAATTTAAGAGTAAGAAATTAAAATATAAATTTTGAATATTTTGTTGTTATTTGTGGTGTGGTAGTTTAATGTCGTTAAATATTATTTAAAATAAGATTATTAATGAGAAGTTAAGATTAAGTAAATATAAATTTTTGATTATTTGGTTGTTATTAGTAGGGTGGTTATATTTTGTTGATTAAATGATTATTTTTAATTATTTATTTTTTTTTGTTTTTATTTTGTTGTTTGTTTGTTGTTAATTTTAAAATTTAATTAATTCAAAATATTATTTATTTACATTTTTTGTTTTTCTCTTCCTTCTCATTTGCTTGGCGGTAATGGCGCAATCTCGAGAAGGTCTTTAGTCTCCAACAGATTATCTATAATTCTAGCCCATAAAGCTCCAGTAATTATAGTGTTTACTCCAATTTCTTTATTTTCCTGAGGTTCCACCTTTTTCTCCAGAATTTTCTCTCTCTTTTCCTTTTCATCTACCGCATGCGGCTTCCTCACGGGAGACCTTGAATAATTGCCCCATGCTCGAGCCCTTCCATCAAAATCTTTATTGCGGCTTCTTCCTTCCCTCTTCCAATATTTTTCTTCCTTCTTTTTATCCTGTAAATATTTTTCTTTTTCTTTAGGCAATTTATCAGGGACAATATCTTCTTTTTTGTCCGTCTCAGCTCGTCCCACTACTAATTTTGCAAATTTTTTGAATTTATTTTCTTCATTTTTTTCTTTATATTTTTTTTCCAACTCCTTTTTATATTTTTTTAATTCTCTATCCATGCGATCTTGAATCTTCCTTTGTAATTCATCGCCTCTTTTCAAAATATCCCCCCAAATTTCTTTGTGTTTAATCAGCATATCCTCCTCATACTTCGATCTCACCCTTCTTGTTTTAGCAATTGTCTCCCAATCAGGGGCCTCTTCTTCTTCTTTGTCTTCCTCCCTTTTTCTCTTCATGTTCCCTTGCTTATTTGGCAGCTTACTTCCAACCTCTTCTCCCCGCTTCTTTGCTTCCAAAATTCTTAATTGCTTTTCTTCCTCTTTCTTCTCTTCCTCCCGTATTTGTCGTTGTTTCTCTGTCCCTTTCACTTGTCTTTTTTCCTCCTTTCTTTTTTTCTTCTCTTCACCTGTCATAGGAAGAAGACGCTCCTCGTCTTCTGTTAACTCTGTAGACGAAATATCCTCCAAGTGCCAGGGTAATTTTCCTTTTATTGAAGTTTCGTTGTCGGAAATATAGTCGTTAATACTTATTATGCTTGAGGAATTCGACATATCAAAAGCCTGTAATTGATTATGAATATTATTATTTTCGGTTTTATTGTTATTGTTAGTTTGTGTTAATTCATTAGTAAAATCCAGAGCAGTAACAATCGAGTTAATTTGAGGGAATTCTTCACATATTCGATCCTCATCGTCAGATATTTCGATGTTCGGATCCAAGATCATTTTTTGGTTTCCTTTATTTTTCTCCTCTTCTGAGTAAAACTTTTTACATTTATCACTGTGTATAAGCCATGAATTTTCCAAGGTTCCAGTTTCAGATATTAATAAATTGGGGGATTGTATTTCAATAATTTCGTATGGCCCTTCCCATTTATCTCCAAATTTCCTTAGATTCTCCATTTTTTTCACCAAAACTTTGTCACCCCTTTCCCATATTATTTTATTGATTTTATTTTGCTGCTTTTTCATAATATCCACATTTTCTAATAATTTAGATTCCACATCCTCCCTAACTATAGTAATCCTTTCCAACATCTTTTGTACATACGAATTCATCTCTTTATATTTTTCTCGCTCAATTCCCAGTGCAGCTTCTGTAGGCAGCTTCGGTAGGAATCCATGCACCACAAAAAATGGGGAATTTCCTATTTGGTGATTATATGAGGTATTGTAGGCAAAAATAACATGGGGCAGCATATCAACCCAATTTTTCCCTTGATCCGTACACGTCGCAATCATATCGGCAAGTGTTCGATTAAAGCGCTCTACTAATCCATTCGCAGATTGGTGATAAGGGGTAGTAGGCTGATGGCGAAAATTTAAAGATTTGGCTAAATCTTGAAATGTTGACGACATAAATTGGGTTCCTTGGTCAGTTACAATTAGCGAGGGAATTCCAAAACGGCAGACAATTTCCTTCAAAAAAATGTCAGCAATTGTACTGGCCGTTTGATTTCTTATCGGTACCGCCATTGCCCATTTACTAAATGAATCAACCGCAACAAAAATATATTGATGTCCCCGTAAGGACTTCTGAATAGGGCCTAGCAAATCAATATTTATTCTATCAAATGGTCGCGAAGCTGGCTCAATGGGGTAAATCTCTTCGCGACTTTGATGTTTTCCAACTATTTTTCTTCGTTGGCAAACTTCACAAACTCTTATTTTATCAGAGATATCTCTCGTCATTCCTTTCCAATACATAGTCCTTTTTATTTTTTCTAGAGTCCTTTGGAGTCCAAGATGAGCACCCTGAAGTGGATCCTCATGGAATTCTTTTATAATTGTATTTTTTAATCCTGTGGGTATAAGTATTTTCCAATCATTTTGTATTTTTCCACACATTAATCCATTTATTATTTGAAAATTTTCCTCCTTATTTTTAGTCAAATTGGTAATGTCAGTATCCTCCTTTTGTGCCTCAATCAATTTTTCAATAGAAATTTTATCTTTTAGTTCTATAGCTTTAATTTGAATATCCTCTTTTGGTGGGTAGCGTGAGAGGTGGTCCCCAACTTTATTAAATTTCCCAGGTCTATAAATAATATTAACATCAAAAGCCTGTAAAACAATTTGATAACGCGCCAGTCTTCCTTGGAGGTCTTTCCTCCGAAAAAGTGAGGTCAGCGCCGAATTATCGGTAATGACTGTAGAGGTTCCAGCTCCTTCCAAATATACTCGAAATTGTTTTAAAGCCGAAACCAGAGCCAATGCTTCCAATTCTACAACACTATAATTTTTCTCGTGTTTATTTAGAGTCCTAGAATAAAATGCAATGGGGTGAATTTCCTTCTGGGCATTTTCTTGTAAAAGGCACGCTCCAATAGCGGTTCCACTGGCATCAGTTTCTAAGATAAAAGGCTTCCCAAATTTTGGTGTTGCTAAAACAGGGGCAGTAGTCAATCTTTCTTTCATTTCTTCCAAAATTTTATCATGTTTTTCAGTCCAATCCCTAGTAGATTCCTTTTTAGTGAGGTCATAAATAGGCGCCATAAGTGCTGCGAATCCCCGAATAAACCTCCTAAAATAACTAAATACTCCGATCAATGAGCGAAGTTCGGCTAAATTTTCAGGTTTCTTCAATTTAAGAATAGGCTTTAAATCAGAATCATCCATCCGTACTCCTTTTTCGGAAATTAAAAATCCCAAATAACGAATTTCAGAACATCCCCAACGACATTTTTCTGCTCTAAGTTTCATTCCAACTTCACACATTACATTTAAGAAAGCTTTTAAATCCTCTAAATGTTCATTTTCTGTCTGACTCCCCAAAATAACATCATCCAAATATACTAAAAAGCTTCGAGATAATTGTTGTCTCATCTCTTCCATAACTTTTTGAAAAGTATGGGGCGCTCCTGCTAATCCAAAAGGTAGTCTTAAAAATTCGTATAGGCCACAGTGGGTAATAAACGCGGTCCTTTCAGTATGCTTTTTGTCCATTTTCACTTGGTGAAATCCACTTTGTAAATCAAAAATAGAAAATAAACTTTTCCCTCCAACTACGTCAAGTAAATCCTGAATTCGCGGTAAAAGATAGGTTTGCTTTTTTGTACATTTATTAAGCGCTCTATAGTCAACTGCAAATCGCCACGATTTCCCATCAGCCTTTTTGACTAACACAATCGGCGAGGCCCATGCTGATGAAGAGGGTTTAATAATATTTTGTTTTAACATTTCCTTAATTTGTTGTTCAACTTCATCGCGTAGAGCATGAGGAATTGAATAAGGTCTCTGCTGGACTGGCCGGGTTCCTGGTTCCAGCTCAATCTGATGCACAATTTTTCCTTTATAAAGTCCAATAACCCCATCCGATTTAACAAAAGCATCCTTTTTAGAATCAACCATATTTCTCAATTTTTCAATCCCCTCCATAGACAGAGCAGTGCCTTCTAAGTTTAATTTATCTGAAATTTTTTCATTTAATTTTTCAGGTTTTGGCATTTTTGGTAATTCCTTTTCCCAGTCAACTTCGGGTGAAATATATGCATCTTTTCTTCTGAAAATTTCAATAGAATTTGTTTCATTTCCGTCACTAGTAATTGGTTCTAAAATTCCGACTCTTGAATTTGCATACACTTGAATAGGCGACTTCCCAAAATTTAATAAACGCATTGGAATTAATCGCGAAGAACCAGGTCGTGAGAGTGTTTTTCCAACTTTTAGTGGCCAATAATCATGTTTTTCCCATTCTTCCAAAATAAATTCTTGAATAGGGTCAAAACTTCTATTAACAGTTCCCCAAATAAAATTATCTGACTGTGGTGGCAAAGTGTGAGTTTTCAAAAGTCGCACTTCAATTTGTCTTTTTGGTTTTTCCAAATAATCCACAGATGCTATCATTGGTAATAAATCCTCTCCCAATTTAATAGTCTTATTTTTAAAATTTAGGTGAATTTCTTCCTTTTCCTCCATTAAATCGGTTCCTATTACCAAACCTCCAGGGCACGCATTGTCTTCAGAAATTAAAAAGGGCCAATTAATTTTTGACTCTCCAATAACCACATTTGCCATAGCTGAGCCTAAAAATGAAATTGGGGTGGAATTTGCAGCCCAAGCCAAAGGAACATCTCCTGGTTTAATTTTCAATCCACATTTTATAGCCACGGATTTTCCACAATAAGAAATATCAGCACCACAATCCACCAGCGCTTTTTGTCTTTTCCCTTCCAAAAGTACTTCAATATAACATCGTTTCCGACTTTTCACTGAACAAATTGAGGGAATATAATCTAATATATAAGCTTTTTCCTCTAATTGTTCTAATGTTGGTGCAGAAGGCTTTGGATTTAATTCTTGCAATTCAACTGCTGCAATTTTTATTTCTTTTCTTTTATTATTTTCATTTGTATTTTTAGTAAGAAAAATTCTAGCCAATGATCTTCCCAACATAATTCCTTTCCATAATAAAATAAAAATTATACGAAATTTCCAAGATAAATAAGTAATTATTGAGAGTGCCGCCAATATTCCAAAAGTAATTAAAAGCCAATATAATCTTGTCATCAATGTCCATTTTTCTTCAATAATTTCTTTCGCATCTGAAATAATTTCACTCCCTTTTTCTTTAATATTTACAGCCATTTCTTTTCCTATTTCAATTCCATTACTCATACCATCTCTTATACCTTGCGCCACATCTGATGTAATATTTTTTGCTCCTTCCGGGAATAAATCTATCGCTCCAAATATTCCAGTCATGACTTGTTCAACTTCTGGTTGGGGAATATCCATAGGCAAATTCAAGTGTGACTGCTGTAATAAATCTGAAAATTTTTGTAAATCTCCTTTCATGGTTAATTTTTCTTTTTCAAAAGTGTTTTCTGCTTTGAAAATAATTCCTGTCTTTAAATCAATTATTGGTTTAATAAATAAAGAATGTTGTTTTTGGTTAAAATCCAAAATTTTTGTTTTATTTTCGACAATTTTATCCTTGTCGCACGGTATTATTTTTGCTTCGGAAATTAAATCAGGACTTCCTGGAGATGCGAAAAGAATTTTCCCTTTGACTTTAATAGGTAATAAGTTATAACAATTTCCATTAATTTCTTGCTCCCAAAATATTTTTTCAATTTCTACAGGGGTACACAAACTTAATGTCCATTTTAATTTAATATCTTTTTCCAGAAATGCAGTAATATCTTGACGTCCATAAAGCAATCTAGCAGCTCCCCTAGGATTTTGTTCTGCCAAAATTTTTGCTACTCCAAGTTGGTGATTTTTAGTTAAACATGAATCCATCCACTGTTGACGCATAATTTTCTCCCTTTCCTGCGATTCTTGCCAAGCCAAATAATTTAGTCTACTTTTCTCATGATTTTGTTCCATAATTCGGTCCCTCTCATTCTGTGCTTCCTCCGGGTCAAACAGATCTCGTTTATAAGTTAAGGGATTTAAATTCTCATCCCACGTTCCAGGATCACCCTTTGGCCCTGGTACGCCATCTTTTCCATTCAGTCCTGGGCTGCCTCTTTCGCCTTTCACCCCGGCTGGCCCTTGCAGCCCAGGCACTCCTGGTTGTCCATTAATTCCATTTATCCCAACAATTCCTTTTTCACCTTTAGGGCCCGTCATTCCCTGTAGCCCTGGTAATCCTACTTTACCGTCTTTGCCTCTAATTCCTGGCAATCCTCCTAATCCTGGTTGTCCTGGCACTCCAGCATCTCCTTTTTCTCCTTTTACATTTTTCCCAGGTATTCCATTCATCCCTTGTGGCCCAGGAAATCCATCCATTCCTTTAAGTCCAGGCATTCCTTTTTCTCCAGGCATTCCTTTTTCTCCAGGCATTCCTTTTTCTCCTTTTAAATAATTATTTTTAACTTGTAAATTTGGTTGTTTCGCAGGAATATAATTGGGAGGAATATCAATATTAGAATTAATAAAATTATTTTTTTGAATAGGCAAAGTCGTTGTCGTGGTTAATATTGGTCGTTTTGTTGGTAATATCGGACGACTTGTTGTTGTTGTTAATAAAGGCAATTTTGTAGTTAATATTTTTGATTTAATGGTTGTCGGAATAGGTGTTGTCGTAGTTCTTCTAAAATTTTGTTTCTTTTGAATTTGTCGTTTTCGAATTATTTTTTCTGGCGTTTCCTGAATTTTAATTAATACATCATTATCCATAAGCCAAGCATCATTTGGCACTCCTAAAATGTAAGAATTTCTTGTTTGATTTTCCAACGGAGAGAAAACATATTCTATTTCTTCAATTTTAACCAATCCAATATTAGAATTATTTTTATAAAATATTTCAGCTTGAGTTGGACCAAAAGGATAATGAGTATAAATATATTCTTCTGATGGCGCATTCCAAATAATAATAGAATTAAATAATTCCTGGTCCTCAAAAGATCCATTAATTTCATGAGCCTTTAATGTTTTAGAAACGCCAAAACTTGTTTCAATTTTATTATTAATAATTGCTCCTTCACCTTCCTCGAGAAAATAATTTTTCCCTTGTATACATTGTTTACCAAACCAAACATATTCCTTTTGAATAGGGTTAGGTGTTTTCCATGTCACCTCATTTAATCGTATTAATCTCGTACCCTTTGTCATTTGTCGACAAACATCAGGGGAAGTAACAGTTTTTTCCAATTTCAACGGTAAGTCATTAGTAAAAATTTTCAAAAATGACTCAGTGCATTTTTCGTGTTTTTCAATCCAACATCGATATATTGGAAAATACCTTGGAACCAGCTTTGGCAAAAAAAGAGTCACATTTTTTATTTCCATTCTATGAGTCGGCGGTAAATTACAATCCTGAGCTGATGGAAAATCCACAGAAATTCCTACCTTTTCCTTTGGGCATATTTGGTATTGAGAATAAATCCCCGGACAGTACGCCATCAAAATTATCATAATAGTAATAAATGGCATGGTTAGACTGCTTATTCGGGCTGAACTTGATGGACCTGCTCCAGTGTCAAAATTTCTTGGTGAGCTTATTGGAATTCGATTCGAATTAAATACTCCTGCTCCTCTTCTCTGTCCCCATCTTCCTTGACAATTTCCCCTATTAGAATTTCCACGCCAATTATTAGTTTGATAGCCAGTCCTATTTTCTCTGTAAAAATTACGATTTCCTCTACTCCATCCAGAATTCCCATTTGTCCGGGTGGGGAAATTTCCCCGTCCTCTCCACTCATTTCTTTGTCCTCCTCTATAATTTTGGGAAGAGAATGCTCGCTCTTTCTCAACTCTTTCCTTAATCGCATTTACTTCGGCACGGACCGCATTTACTTCGGTTAAGGCTTTCTCTGTTAAATTATTTTGATAAAAACGAGACTTATCTTCCTTAAGCGCATTTTGAATCTCCTCAATTTCTTTTGCGCAAGTAATAGCCTCTTCCATTGAATTAGTAGGTTGAAATGCCAATTTCTCTTTTATTTCCATTCGTAATCCATTTTTAAAATAATCCTTAGCTATATCATCTCGCCAATTTTTTATACGTACAAGTCTAGCTTCCGGGGTTTCTCCAACAATTTCTGTAAAGGAATTTTCAGGGAAAGCTTTAGAAATTAATCCTCTAATTTTTTGGGCAAATTCAAGAATAGATTCATGAGCCTCTTGTTTCCTAATCGATAAAATCCTCCGGGCCGATTCTTTGGAATTTAACTTCTTTAATTTTAACGCCAACGCATCAGTAACATTTTTCCAAGTACTTTTTGCTTCCGCGTCCAAGGAGTCATATATTGCGCGTGCCTCCTCAGTTAAATACAATGGTAAAATTTGACAACATCTCGTGGCCGTCCATTGATGAGCCGTGGCCAACTTATTAAAACGTCGTAAATAGGAATCAAAGTCTTCCAATCCAGAATAATATTCGGGTAAAGGTAATCCATATGAATTAATTCCCATTTTAACAATTTCCTTTTCTAAATTTGAAATTTTTCTTTCAATACCTTCCATTGTCTGTTGTCGAGTTCTCTTGCGTATTGGGGAATGTGCTTCGCCTTCGTCAGCAGTGAAAAGTTCCTCCTCGGTTTCCAGATTTAATAGTTGTTTGAATATTAAAATTATTTGTTGTTAGTAAATTATTCCAAATATTTTAAATAATTATATTATCGTTGTAAAATAGTAGAGTAAGTCGAGTACCGAGTAATTGGGAAAAACCGAGCTCGAGTAATCCAAGTAGTTGTTAAAATTTTATTATATTAATGTAGTTTAATTATAGTAATTGCTGATGATATTTATTGTTGTTTAATTATATTTCTTTTTCTCAAATAATATTTAATGTTGTTTAAAATTCACAGTTGTAGTTTGCTTATTTAAAATCCAATTAAAGAATTAGCAATTAATTAACAGAATAATGTTGTTCCAATTTTAGTTTAACTTTTCTCCACCATAAATCTTAGCAGCAATTAAGTCCCAATCTAGTCTTTCCTTTTTTAACCATATTTAATGTGATCCAAACATCATCGGCCGATTGATGAGAGGATATGTGATCAACTCACGTGATCACGTGCTTTTTATTTTAATCTTGCTATTTTTAGCAGGATTTATTTGTAGTATTAAAATAGATTTGTAAGGGGGCCCCCACTGATTGGACTTTGTGTTTTGCTTTAGCCAAAAATTTTGGAGAGCGATTGTATTTTTGTATTTTTGTGTTTTTGTATTTTTGTGGTTTTGTATTTTTTGTGTTTTTGTATTATTGTATTTGGAATTTAAAATTATTTAATATTTTTAGCCACTTTGGAATTTGGACAAGTCGAATGTCCGGATGAAATGGAATGCCACTATCACTGCTGGGGTCTGCTTGAGTGGGAAAATCCCATTGTTTGCTCTATGGAACAACCCAGTATTGTTTTTGGGTCTACAACCCGGTCCGCGCCAACAACTACTGCCAACAGTCGTTTTACCGTCACTCAACACATATATATCGTACATTTCACTCAGGGATTAGTTTTATTTTTGATTTTTGTTTTGATTTGTTTTGTTTATTTTACTCGCAAAACTCTTCCTCCCCGTCCTACTCCCAAAAATCGTCCTAAAACTAAATTTTCTTTTCCAAAACCTCTTCTTATTTCCGCCGTTTAACTTAAAAATTTTTTTTTCACGGCAAACACTTTGTTAAAGTTTAATTGTTAATTGTTATTTTGTTGAGATAAATTTGTTATGTTTGTTTTTGAAAATATAAATAAGGAACAAATTTTAAAAAGCGGAAGACGGAAGGGAGAATGCGGAGGCGTAAGTCTCAAGACAAGCAAAGGTGTACACGGCAATAAACACGTCAACAAGTGTAAAGCAATAGAAAATATAATTAAATAAATCACACAATTTCCTCAAAAATTTTATTTGCGAGATTGTAAGCTTATTTCCTAGAATTTGAAAATAAAATTTAAATCAGGTGTTAAAATAATTAAACGAAAATTTTTCGTAAACAAGTTTAAATTAAAGTATTTAAGAAATTAAACATTAAAAAATATATTAATTCTTAAAAATTTGTTTGACTTAGAGGAGAGAGAAATAAAAATTTTTTTTATAAACAGTTGGTTGGTTTTAAGCAATAACATTATTTGTAAGACAAAACAAGTATTTATTTTTACGAATAATATGGAGAGAAAGTATATATATTTTTAAATCAAAAAAAGTAATAAAATTAATTTAATTTATTTATAACATATACGGCATTTTTAAAGTTTATTATATTTAATTAAAATTTTGTAAAAATAAATCGCGGGGTTTTATAAAAATATATCAACGCCGTAGGACCTCCATGTGATACTTTAATGGGCTCGCGAGGCCCACCGGGCATTGGGTCCGGCCCTCCTCGGGAGAGAAGGACCGGACGTGCCCTGACTCTCTTAGATAAGCCTTAAAACTTTACTACTTTTTAATACAAATATTTATTCGATTTATTAAATGTGAGGGGAAAACGAGAGAAGAATCAACTGAGAGTTTTTAGCTTAAAGTTATTTCTTTTTAAATGGCCAAAATTAAAGGGACAGCTGACATCTCTCTTATAACATAAGTGGATTTCAGTTACTACTTATTAATCCTGAAACTAAATTGTATCTTAAAGCAGGCATTTACTTGACTTCTGTTTAAATTTATCAAACTTTAATTTTTCAATATTCATTTTATGTCTAGATTAGAGTTGGTATTACCGCGGTATTTTTCGGTAATACAGCGGTATTTTTACCGAAATACCGATACCGCAAAATCGAGTTTGCCCAACACTAGTCTAGATCAATTTATACTTTTTACATTCCCATTTAGTTACGCTAAAACACACAACATTCTTTATGTTTATGAACGGCTTTTAGTGTATCCAACGTATGATTGTTATCATAATGCAAGTATAGACATTTCATATGATTCATTAAATCGTTTTCTCTATCAATTCATATTAGGCATACAAAGAAAATCCATAAATCGCACGTCAATCACACGCATAATTAATACCACCCTCCATCACTATCACTCTTGTCAACCCTCCTGTCACAATCGGGATTTTACATTCACTTAATGAAAATTTTGATTTGATAAAAGATACCGTATATACTGTATTAATTACCCTGGGTAATTATTGTTTCGATCTCTCGCTGGAGGGGGTAATAAAAGCAGGTGGGGTAATTATTTGAGGGAGGGCAATTATTATTTCGACCTGTAAATTTTTTATTTTATCGTAAAGATATGAACAGTAATATACAATATGTATGTTACCGAATGCAGAGATAAATATTAGTAAATTTTTACAGATATTTTTTATTCCCTTAATACTTTCATATATAATATACCCCAATACGGTACAATAACACCAATGCTTCCTCCCTGGGAGATACACGATGGTCATGTATAAAAGTATGTATGATTCCTATTTAGGGAATATTCCCTACATTCTGTAAATATACTTCTTATAATATGACTAAAGACAGAATATTGATCCTTAAATGCTTAAAAATTAAAAGTATCCGGGTTATCCTCTCCAAATCCTTTTATTTTCTTGATTTATTTTTTATATGATCCTTAAAATGCCCATTGTTAAAATCATAATGTTTTTTAATAAATATTTTCAACGTTAGCTTAGAAAAAATAGGGGGTAATTATTTGAGGGAGGGCAATTATTGTTTCGATCTCTTGCTAAAGGGGGTAATAAAAGCAGGTGGGGTAACTATTTGAGGGAGGGTAATAAATACAGTATATACGGTAATTAGGAGACTTTGTTTGCTCTTCCATACCCACATTTATGTAGTCTTTCCTCTTATTTAAAAAGTACATATTTCTTAATTGTCTGGGCAGTAAAGTGTATTTAGAATATTATTTTAATTTTCTAATAAAATATTTAGAATTAAACAATTATTTTCAATAGTCGGTATGAAATGAGAATTTGTTAAGAGAAGCACCATAATAATCTCCAACGATTCCCCTTATATGGCCATCAAAATAATTTATTTTAAAAATAAAACGGATTTAAATTTTAATTTATTAAAAATTCAATCAATAATTTAACTTGCCATTAACTTTGCCCTATCATGCGTGCTTTCACGCGACTAAACAATTTTTATTTCAAAATTATTCTACCTTCTCACAAGGCATTGGACATAAAATAAATAAAATTTTTCTTTTAACATTGTCTAAACACATTTGAGGAAAAGTAGGTTTTTCTGACAGTGAGGGCTATAATTTAATAAATAAAATAGCACTTTATCACTCGCATGATAAACTCCGCCTTCCATTGATAACGATTTGTTGCAAATCAAAGCCTTAACTTAGTCTTACAATTCCCATTAGGATTTAAAAGGACGTCGGGGATATTAAATGAGTTGTTGGGTACCGAACCAGAACCGAGATCGGGATTGAAATATCGGGATCAGTATTCATGTAAAATTTTTTAAATTTTGTATTGTTTTAAATAAATTTATAAATAAATTAATTTTTATTTTAAAAACGGGAATAAGCCTCACAAGAGTTAGATTCGAGACAAAAACATCTCAGAGCTGGGGAATTTTTAAATTTTTCCAATATGATGAAAGAACTCTAAAGATCACTCAAATTAACGATTTATTGCAAATCAAAGCCTCAATTGAGTATTAGAATCCCCATTAGGATTTAAAAGGACATCGGGGATATTAAATGAGTTGAGGGGATATTACCTTTATTTTATATATATATTTTAGGATATTCAAAAGCATGTACTTCGCTCCCAAAACATTTTCGTAGCTAGAAGTGGGTCCCCTGTATTTTAAAAATAAAACGGATTTAAATTTTAATTTATTAAAAATTCAATCAATAATTTAAATTACCATTAACATGCGTGCTTTTAATAGTTTTTTTATACCCTATCATGCGTGTATCAATTATACCCTATCATACCCTATCATTTTTATACCCTTTACCCTATCATGCGTGCTTTCACGCGACTAAATTTTTATTTCAAAATTATTCTACCTTCTCACAAAACCCCCATTTACATTGGACATAAAATAAATAAAATATTTTCTTTAACATTGTCTAAACACATTTGAGGAAAAGTAGAGTTTTTCTGACAGCGGGGGCTATAATTTAATAAATAAAATAGCACTTAATCGCTCCCATGATTAACTCCGCCTTCCATTGATATGTGTATATAGACGGTAGTAAACAAGGCTTTTGTCCAGTTAATCTGCGAACATCGTTAGTTAACTTTTACATTGGACATAAAATAAATTATGTTCAATATACAAATATTTTTTAACTTTTTAGTGAAAAAATTATTTAAATAAACAAATGTTTATTTATTTAATTATTTTTTTGCTTCTACCAACAGCACCGGAAACAAATGCTTTTCCAAATTTATACAAAGGTGTTATTTATGTTATTTCTTTTAATTAAATTATAAAAATTTAATTAGGCATTTGTAATGCATATAACACGGTGAGTTTAATTAACAATCCATTGAATGGTTCTACAGAAATAATTTTGGAGAATTATTTCAAAGAATTTCTTTCAACGGAAGACCCCAATCAAATTAACATAATGTATCTGAAAATATCGATACTTTCTCAAGTATTTTTAATGGAAATTGCTTTGGACAGAGTTGAGGCAGGAGATAATATAGGGTTAAATAAATATGTTAAATATTTATAAAAAAAATTTTTTTAAAGATTAATTGCACGATTAGCCATGCTGTGCCCAGTTAACTTATTGCCTTATGAAATACGTTTGTGTGATATAGTAGCAACTTTTAAAACAGAATATAAAAAATTAGTAGAAAAAAATTTTGAAAAAAATATTCAAAAATATTCTCCAAAAGACTGCGTTTCTGCAGATGACGAAAAAAGGAAAAAAATATTTTTGGAATTTCAAGAAGAAATTTGGGAGGCTAATTTTATTGTTTTCTTTAATCATTTTAAAAATGAAAAGGGAGAGTCTTTTCAAAAAATTTTGCGGTACGTTTTATTCTGATATGAAACGATAATTTTTTTTTTAAATTTTGGCCCGATACATTAATCAAAAACTTATTTATAATAAGATTTTGTTTTTCCTGGAGTATTTTTAAAATATAATGGAGATTTGATAGTCTAATACAGTCGTGGAAAAAAGTATGGAAGCACTAGAAAATTTTTATTTAATTCTTAATTTTTCATTCTAAAAATACGTTCTAATTATATACCAATCGAAAGCTCTATTCGTATCTCAGTTGACATGTTTCTGCATTTTTGATGAAAATGAAAATTGGCCGAGATAATCTGGATCTACCGGATATACCAAATCCCATATTTTCGGAAAAATTTTTCGGAAAAAATTTAACAAACCCAAATGATTTGCTTATTTTTAATTAACTTTTTTCGTCCTAAAATCAAACGGAGATTTGATTTAGGTAATATAACGGAGATCTTTTTTCTAAAATGAAAATTATTTAAAAATTTTTTTTTTAATTTTTAACCTCTTATTATTGAATATTTTAATTAAATACTAAGATCTTTTTCTGTCAACAAAAACCGAGTAAACGAGAGAATGGAAATGGTTTTTGGATCGCTGCGTTTTTTTATTTTACATGAAATGCATCCGGAATATTTTGGCAAACTAGGTAATAATAATTAAATTATTTTCTCAAATAATGTCAAGCATTCTTCTTAAACAACTAACAAATAAGATGGATTGGTATTATTTGAAGTTCCGGAGGGGGCCTATTTTTTCAATGTCTAAATTTCTCGAAAACTAAAATTTGTTACCATTTGAATAACAATTTCTAACATTCAATGAAATCCATCCCATACTAAAAGTCACTTCACAATAATCCTTGCACAAAAAGTTTCACAAGTAACTTCAGACTTATTTAAAACGTCCTCTTAGTTGGAGATAGTAAAAAATAACTTAGTTTATTATCCTCCTTGTACATATAATATGTATATACTCAAGTGGAGATAACCTGAAAATCAACGTAAAATAGGGTTTTTCAACTTAAAAAAATTTTTTCGGCAGCTTATGGATTATTTTTGTTATGTACGTGACTTGTATGTCTACGTACTACCCCAAAATTGGCAAGCCCAAAATATTGACATCTCCTTTGACCAAATGGAATTCTTCTTCACTTGTGGTTCCGAATAATTCTACAATTGCTTTGAATTTTCCTTCAATCTCGAATTTTGTCTTTCCTAGGCCGACGCCTGAATAATCAACTTTGAATAATTCTGGACTGCCAATTTTTGACCAAATCTCCTCATTCAGAATATTAATTTGGCTGGCCGAATCAACGATCATTTCAACTAATTTTTCATTCAATTTCACTTTTTGCGTAATCCATTTTTGCTTTATCAGAATAGAATTAGGATTCACGATATCCGTAATACCACAAAAGGTGCCAGAAGAATCTGGATCAATAGAAACATGATTAATCTGTGGTCGATTGAATCGGTTTAACCAACCTTTAGGTTTACGACAATCACGTCCGTAATGTCCCAAACGACCACAATTGTAGCACTGAATGTCTCTGAATTTGTTTTGGCTCTCTGAATAATCCGAATAATTGTTGAATCGTTGATTTCCCGAATTGTAGTTGAACTTCTTTTGATAATTACTTCCTCTGAATCTATCTTCGGAATTTTCATTCTTCATTTTAGAATTTTGAATAGATTGAGCCTGAATAGGATTTTTACTCACATTATTTACTTCGAATGAATAATCTGGCTCAAATTTTACCTTTTCTTGAATATTCTCAAAAACCTTGGCATCTGCCTTTGTTGCTAAATAACTGCGACATTCTTCTAACAATTGCTTGAATGTACATTGATCCGAATTGGAATGTCGTTCAACGAATCGCAGGCAAATTTGGCGCAAATCATTGGCTTCCTCGGGAATCCCTGCAATGAAAATAAGAATTTTCGAATCTTCGACCGTTAGCGCCATCTCTGCTTTTTCACATTCAGAATTAACCACTGCCCCAAAATCTAACACTTTCTCAACACAGGGGCATCTTAATTTGATGACTTCGAATCGTTTCACAATTTTGGACCGAGGGTCTCCGAATTCATTTTCTAACTCTTGAATGAGAATATCGAATCTCATCGAATCTAATTTCTGGGGCATCATTTTCTGTGAAATCTTAGCATATTCACTACCCCCTAACTTGGCGACTAATAATCGAACTTTTACTCTTTCGGCTAATGAATTACCTTCGTTCTCAAAGAATGATTTATGCTTCTCGTACCAGGAAGCGAATGTTTTGCCCTTGTCCAAATCGAATTCGAATTCTTGAATTACAGAATTTAATTTGCAATATAGCTCGGCTGACTTTTCTTCTTCTGAATTTTCTTTTTCCTTTGTTTTGCCGAATTCCTTCATAAAATCTTGCGTTGACTTCAGAATTTCGCCTAGCATTTTTACTGCCTCTGTGTCCATTTTTAACTAGAATATACAATTAGAATTGAATAATATCCGAATAAGAATAATACCTTTTGAATCAGGTTCGAATACAACTGCGACCGCGCCACTGTTATGTACGTGACTTGTATGTCTACGTACTAACAAGAATAACAACAAGATAAGACAGTGACTAACAAACTGTGCTTTATCTACAATACTAAATACAATAGGTTGCGAACAATAGAATATGGCTAAACGCCGAATACGTGGAGACAGAATAGAATAACAGAATAACACTGCGACAATAAGACTAAGACCACGACTGAATAATAGGAAGGCTTTTATACTAAGCCGATACCCAACAATTTTTAATTTTAATTTTGAGATTCGAAAGCACTTCAAATGTGCCATAAGATAGTAAAATTTTCCAGAAAAAATTTATCAGCAAATATGGAATTTTTATTTTATAGAAAACATTTCTGTTAAAAATTATTTAAATAAATTATCTGATGATTCTATTTCAACTGAAATAAATCTATTTGATGATAAAACATTAATTAAAATGTTTTATGATTCTCTTAAAACTAAAAATAAATTATCTGCGGATTCTCTTAGAAATAAAGCAAAATTTAAATTAACAAAACAAAATATCAGCAATGGAGAATATTACATGTTTTGGATTATTTTCTTTATAAAGGATGGTATAAAATTAATATAGAAAATAAAGGTAATTTTGAGGAAATTAAATATTTATTTTTATTTGTTTTTTAGTTGGAATTGAACAAATAAAAAATATTTGGAAAATAATTTTTGAAAATTATTGGAATGGAAATAATTTTCTTAAAGAATTTGTTTTGAATTTTAATGAAATTGAAGAGGAAGAAATTGAGGAAGAATTGGAGGTATTTTTGAAATTAAGCTTTAAGTATAAGTATATACATAGTATGTAATATACAATAATGAGAGCGAGTATTCAGGAAATTAACAAAATATAAAAATACCGTATATCCTTTAATAACTACCTGGGTAATTATTGTTTCAACCTTCCACTAAATGGAGTAATTAATCGAGGGAGAGTAATTATACGAAGTTTGAAATTTGAACGTGTTTTAGGGCATTTGGTGGGGGGTAGTTATTGTTTCAATCTATCACTAGATAGAGTAATTAATGGAAGTGGGGTAATTATTTGAGGTAGGGCAATTAATACAGGTTATACGGTAGACAATTTGCATGCTAACTAAACTTGAAGTTATATGTTTAATTAATTTTGTAGTAAAAACGTTTTTAATACATATAAACGAAAGTTTGGGAGTTGGGAGAGTATATGGTACCCTGCCTATTTAAAAATAATTTTTTAAACTTTTAAAGCAAATATTTCTTAATCCAAATGGTTATTCTGAAACTAATTTTGATATTCATTTAAAATATTTGTTTGTAATGAAAGAATGTACAGAAAATATTTTAAATAACGAATATAAAGAAGAAAATAAAGAAGAAAATAAAAAATATTTGAACAATTGTGTAAATGAGGAAATTAAAAAATTAGATAAAAATATTGAAGAAATGGATAAATTTGAAAGAAATATTCAAAAATTAAAATTTATTGAAAAAATATATACAGATAAAGTGTATAATCCAATAAAAATTGTGAACGAAAAGAATGTATCAGAAAAAAGTAAATTTTAAATTAAAAATATGTCAAGCAAGTTTTTCGAATTTTTCATCGACAAGTATATATGTATAAGCATGTTAATATCCATAGGTTTAAGGGATGTTGCAAATTTAATTTTAAAACCCGTAAGACGGGAGAAATAAATAAAAGGAATGCGGAGGCAAAATTGTGTCAAAAATCGAGAAACCAAAAAACTAATAAAGGTCAAAAACAAACAGCTAGGAATGGGTGAACTAAGAAAATTTTTAAACTAAATTTTTTAACTAAATAAAACCAAAAGATCATTTTTATCTACACCTGGATTTTTTCTTCGAATTTCAGAATTTTTTGTTGTCATTAGGGGTGTAATTAAAAATACGGCGAGTTAAAAATTTTGTCGAATCCATAGTTTTCATGTTTTCAATTAATAAACTTAATTATTAGAAAATGAAATTAAAAAATTATATGGTAGTCAAAAAATAAAAGATGGAAATCGTGATAAAATAATTTTGAAAAACAATGAAGAGAAAACAATATTAGAGGAGGTAAGTAATAAATAATTTAAGTTGTACCCAGATTATTCCACCTGACAATAATTATTTAAATTTGTGTAGCAAAATCTGCCAAAGGATCTAAAAGGAAAAGAAATTATTCGAGAAATAGAAGAAGAAATTAAAGAGGAAGGCGAAGAAATATTTTCTTCAAAATTAATAGATGAAGTTATAATGAAGGAATATACACGTAAATATTTTTTAGAATTAAATGAAGATCTTATTAGAGTTTGGCATATTTTATATTAAACACGATACACGAACTTTATTGATCCTATTATAAATTCATGAAAATTTTCTAGTCTTTATTAATAAACCCAGAATCTGAAAATATCAATCTCTTATGTTAATTGATAAGAAATATTTCAGACAAGAGTTTTCTGTTTCAGTAATTCCTC